CAGCATGAAAGGGGGGAGGGTCAGAGGGAGAAGCAGACTCCCCGCCGAGCAGGGAGCCCGATGCGGGACTCGATCCCGGGACTCCAGGGTCATGACCTGAGCCGAAGGCAGTCGCTTAACCAACTGAGCCACCCAGGCGCCCTCCTTGCAACTTCTTACTAATTATCCTGATTTTTTGTTATGGGAGATACATTTAATATGTTTTTCTTATGGTCGTCTTTTTTTTTTTTTTAAGATTTTATTTATTTGCGAGAGAGAGAATGAGAGACAGCGAACATGAGAGGAAGGAGAGTCAGAGGGAGAAGCAGGCTCCCTGCCGAGCAGGGAGCCCGATGCGGGACTCGATCCCGGGACTCCAGGATCGTGACCCGAGCTGAAGGCAGTCGCTTAACCAACTGAGCCACCCAGACGCCCCAGCCATATTCATTATTGTGTGTGGCACCAAAATTAGGCTTTAGAAGTGTAACTTTTAATGAGAGGAAATGCTTGTGATTATTTGTGACATATCAACTGTGTCACATCAAGTCCTTAATATACTATAATTCAGTAGGGGCGTTTTCCTCAATTTCACAGCAGTAAATGCAGCACATTGGTTCCATTGCCTTACCTAGGTTTTAGAGTTGTTTTGAACAATGGGTTTTGCTTGTAGTTTCCATGGCATTTCACCTAAATCAGTTGGGCGAGTCTACCCCAGCTAGTAAGTGTCAGGTGCATAACTGGATAGATATAAGTGAAAAGGTGCCTTATTTTGGAAATGTGCAGGTCTACTCTTGCCTAGCCTCAGTATTTGTCATCTGTGCTCTTCAGATTATGGCTTCTTGCCATCCCCGTTCCCCTACCCCCACCCCTGTCCAGGGTCAGTTAATCATTCCCAAGCCATCAGGTTCTGTTCTTGCCCACACCCACACTATATTTTTAAAGTACCTGTCTCCTTTGTGTGTGTCTTAGGGGCAGAATTCAGGCCTGTCTTCCGTATATCCTCAGGACTTGGTGCCTACTCTAGGCTCTAGCACAGAGTGATAATTTGATGAATTCAACTGAGTGAACCCCATCTTGCCATCTTAATGTACTGAATGATTAATACGTGCAACTGATGATGAAGAACAGAGTCCGGCTTCCTTCAAGCCTTCCTTTCTTCCTTTCAGAAATATTTGCTGAGCCCTTGGTTGTATCGTGAACATCATTCTTGGCACAGAGAATACAGTGGTGAAAATGAGAGGGAAAAAACCTGCCTTCAGGGAGTTAAAAATCTAATGAAATAACTCAATAGTCTTCTTTGTCCAATTCATGTGTTTTTCAGGTTCAGGTTGGATAAACAAATCAAGTATCCCCTCATATTAAAAAAGTAAATTAAAAAACTGCATCTGGGACTTTGCTACTGGCAACGTAGTATACCAGAGAAACACAGAGCTGCGTAATCCACTGTCGTAGCCACTTGCCAGTGTGGCCGTGAGCACATGCAGTGTACTAGTCTGAATTCAAATGTACGAAAACCATAAAATACACACCAGACTTTGAAGATGGAGTATCGAAAAAAGAATGTAAAGTATCACATTAATAATTTCGTATTATGTGTTGAAATAATTTTTTTTAAGATTTTATTTATTTATTCATGAGAGACAGAGAGGCAGAGGGAGAAGCAGGCTCCCAAGGAGCAGGGAGCCCGATGCGGGACTCGATCCCAGGACCCTGGGATCATGACCTGAGCCGAAGGCAGACGCTTAACCATCTGAGCCACCCAGGCGCCCGTAAATAACCCATCGTTTTCTAGGGTAGGAATAGTGATTGTAGACTGACATGGGGAACATTTTGATAGTTTATTAGCTCAAGTCCCTTCTCCCCACCCTCCTCTTCACCCAGAACAGATGGAGGGAAATGAGTAAAATTCAAAAGGAATTAATTACCTTTCTCTCCAGCAAGCTATTTGGGAAAAAGATGCTGAAGTGAATGGCAAATCTACAAGATTTTTCTTTTCACATAAATGCAGGCCCCTGTTACTTTGTGTGGGTTCTTAGAAAGAAGTCTAAAATATGAAAATCCAAGCTTCTAAGTTAGAGAAGAGATTCTTTGCAAAACAGACCCACTAAAGAGCGTTGTTGGCAGCCACTCTTTAATCTCTGTGTACTTGTTAACTAACTGCAGAGGAGACACTGGGAAGTCAGTCAAAAATTAAGGTATTCATGAAACCTAAATATAAAGGAAAAAATATATATTGATCGTGGCAGAGAGGGTCTAGAGTGGACCCCATGTTTCCTGCCTTGCTTCTAACCAATGTAACAAGGCAAAAGTGAAGGGATGTTTATGATTTTATGTGTGTGATAACATGACATAAGATAGTCTCTCCTATCTTACTGAAGTTTCTCTTTCCCTTGATGGCTTTGAGGAAATAAGTGTTCCTGTTGAGGGATTCCACATAGAAAGAAACTGCTGAAAGCTTCTAGAAGCTGAGAACAGCCTCTGCTAACAGCCAGCAAGAAACTACAAAAGAACTAAATTCTGCCAACAGCCAGATTGAATTTAAAACTGTATCCTCTCCCAGTCAAGCCTCGGAAGAAACCATAACCCCTGCCAACACCTTGACCGCAGCCTTGTGACCCTAAACAGAAGATCCAGCAAAGTCATGCCCAGACTCCCGACCCCTGAACACTGGGCAAGAAATATGTTACTTTAAGCTGCTAATTTGTACTAATATTGTTAGTCAGCAATAGTTAACTAACACACTGGTACTTTGACTTATCCAAATTGTAACCATTAAGCATATTTTAAGTAAAGTAAGATATGTGCACTGAAATTATTGGAATTCATTGTTCCTTTTCTTTGATCTTCCATCTTCTCAAGCCTGGCTGAGGGATTTAGGTGTATATTTAATAATAAATCAGTTATATTTATAATATTTTATAGCATTTTAAAGTTTACAGGTAATAGACTTTTGGTTGGTAAATGATAATTCAGTTTCCCATAGTTTGGTTTGACATGATTCTGCAGTTCAGAATGTATCAGACACATATCTAGGACTCCAAAGAGAGATATGGACCAGATATTTTTTTTAGATTTTATTTATTTATTTTGAGAGAGAGAAAAAGAGGGAGAGAGCAAGAGCAGGGAGGAGGAGGCAGAGGGAAAGGGAGAAGTAGACTCCCCGCTGAGCACAGAGCCCGATGTGGGACTCAATCCCAGGACCCTGGGATCACGACCTGAGTGCAAGGCAGATGCTTAACCGACTGAGCCACCCAGGCGCCCCTGGACCAGATATTTCGTTCAAATCATTAGCATCTTCCAGATGGTAATTAGATCTATTAAAATGGATTAAGTCACTTGATCATCCGTAGAAGGTAAGACTATGGACAAGGCTCAGGAAAGAAACAATATTTAAGGGGCATACAGAAGAATCGGCAAAAGGGAAACCAAGTCAGAAAGGTAAAAAGAAATTTAAGAGAGAGTTTTGTCAGGGATGCCAAGAGTTTCAAGATAAAGAGCGTACCAAAAAAAAAAAAAAAGGATAACGAAACCCGGGTTAATTGGGTTTAGGAATTAGGAAGTGATTGTTGATCTTAGTGAGATGGAATGGAAGTTGGATTTCAATGAGTCGCTAAATAGCTTAGGAATGAGAAGTAGAGGTAAATATTTACTTAGGTAATAGCTAAAGGGGAAGGTTGAATCAAAGGGTTCTCTTAAGACAGAAGAGACTTTCATGATTGTTACCATGAAGAGTTACTAAAAGAGAGCTTGTCAGTGTGGAAAAGGAAGGGGGGGGTTACTGTACAAATGAGGTCCGGGATTTGGTGAGAGGTAACTGGTGGTGCGGACAGCATAAAGAATCAGCCTCAGATGGGTGAAGAACACCTTTCTTTCAGACTAGGAGGAAAGAAATGAGCCTGCATGTGGAATTAAAGACATCCAGAGGTGTGGACATGAGAAGTCAGGGAATTTATATGACTTTCGTTTTCCCACCTGCCTTGAGGAAGTGGGCAGGGCTGAGTAGGGGCTAAATGGGTACAACCACTGATGGGAATGAGAGTCTTGCTGAGTAGAGCGGAGTTTCTAAGAGGCGTTAAGACTCTCACCAAAGCTGAAAGCTGTCCCACTATGAAATCTCCCTTGGAGTTGAAGGTGAATGCATTTTGGTTTGTCCATTAACATGAGAAACCTGAACTTGGGAAATAACCTCATAGCCCAGCTTCCAAGGCTGTTACCAAGGCCATCCCTCTTGCACTCATATGAATTATTCTCACACCTCTTGACTGACAAACCAGGCTTTTGTTTTTTGTTTTTGTTTTAATTTAGCATAACAAAAGAAAAATGTAGGTTTTCAGGTTGAAAGTAAGGAATTCTACTTGTAGGACATACTCCTTATAGTGAGGTGACATGCACACCTTCCTCACTAGAAGGGGTAATACTTTTTCTTCTTCCCGTCAGCACTGTTTTCAGTCCCCACCTCTTTCTTCATCGGATTTGAGTGAAACAAGATCAGAATCATCCCTCATTTTTCTCTCTGGCTGGTTCTTCTGGAAACAGTGCATGCATGCATTACAACTCTTCAGAGGTAACTTGCTTTTTCTTCAGGAGAATCTAAAACCATAAAGCTGGAATTGTTTTCCATTTCATTTCTTAAATGGAATCTTAAATTTTTGCTCCTGGAGAAATGGTCTATAAAGAATGCATCCTCCATATCTACATCGTCTATGAATAGATAGAACTCTGGCAGTAGCTACTACCGGAGGGAACATTCAGATCATCTAAAATTATTGTAGCAGTTTATTCTTTCATTTAACCTAATGAGTACGTACTGCTATGTGTCTGGTGCTGTTCTAGGCTCCAAATAAGGACCTCCTGCTTTCAGGGAGCTAACATTCTTATGTGCATGTGATGGGGGGAGAAGAGGGAGAGTGAAGCTGAAAATAAACAATTGAACAAATATGTTTAAAAAAGATTTAGCCGATAGTGGTAAGTGGTGAGTATGAGCAAAATAACAGAGATGTGATATCTGTTATATATTGTAGATATGATAATGACTGGGAAGAGGCTGGCTTTAGACATACAGAATATGCAGAATTCGGAAGATTATCAGATTGCAACCAGACAGCTCAACAATCTGCAATTACCTTGGCAAGAACGGAAGTGGTGTAAGACCTGCCGTATATATATTTTTGGAAAGCTTAATCTAAACCAGAGGAGAGGAACCCAGAGACCCGGCTCTGACATCAGCTGTCCATCCCTTCTTCAGCCAAAAAGAAAAAAAAAAGAAAAGAAATGCCTGAAAGCCAGAAAAGCCTTACAGATGAGAAAAATTATTTTTTAGATGTCCAGTCTTTTGTAAATAAATAGTCCTGTTAGTATATTGGTGTTGAGGCTCTCACCTGTTACTAATCCTTTGTCTTACATTTTTAAACAGCTGATTATATAATGTTAATGACACACACATTGCCACTCTCTCTCTCTCTGATCTTCACATGGATGGCCTCAGACCTCCATCTTTCTTTTCTTTTGCTTAGGCTTTGGGTTCTGGACTTACTTTAACTACATTCAGACTCTGGAAAAATGGAGGTTTCTGAGGTTACATTGGAAAGATCTTTGACTGACAGGCTCCCTTCGGCCACAAGGAATTGCAAGAGTGGAATAAAAAATGTGGATTTAGCTCAAACTCTGGCAGCTTTTTTTCCACCTGAGAAACGGAATCTGGCTGCGGCTAGCCCCGGGGAATGTAAATAGAACCTTACCTGTAATTAACCCAGGGCTTCTCCTGTTCTCGATGCAAATGGAGTTATAATTGTAGAATAGAAAGCCTGGATTTCCGAGGGGAGCTGGCAGTGGAATAGAGGAAAAAATTTCTAACTATGACAGCTCCCTCCTATCTCCTTCTAGAAAACCTGAAAGATAATAAAACTGGAGTTGCATTTGATGTAAGACATATGGTAATTACTATAAATAATATTATCACCCGGGGTCTGCAATGGTTTTGTCAGTGAGGTGCAATTTCACATATTGTCTGCGATAAAATCCCCGTTTTTGGTTATTGATAGCAATGCCTTTCTAAAATGGTGTAGGTGTTTTGTGACAGCTGCGAAGTTCCTGCCTCATATCCAGGTAATTGGGTTGAGAATAAGGCCTGCATGTTAAAACCTGACGATGTGAGAGGTGGAGAAAGCCCAGGGAATACTGTGAATATTTTGGTAGTTATTAACTGGCTAAAAGGGAAGCCTTTGCTAGTCAGTTCTTCTGAAGCAATGCTGAAGGGGGAAAAAAAAAAGAAAGAAAAAGAAAGAAAGCAAGAAAGACAGCCCCCTTTGAAAGCTTCTGTGGAGTCTTCAGTCAAAATTTGGAAATTTGGAGCTAATCAATCGTATCATGAATCTGTACTTAATATTTTTAAGGCTGTATACAGTATCCACAAATTAGACTATAATTACTTTCATTTTATGCTACTATTGATTGTTTCATCAGATTTTACTCCGCTTAATTGCTGATTTAATAGAAATTACTTCAGCGTCATAAGTATGTACGTGTGTAATAAACGCTTTTACTTATTGGTCATAGGAAAAATTGGTTCTATAGGATGTTATCCTGAGCAAGCTGTATATATTCAATTTTATAGCTGCTTCCAGGGAGCCAAATACTGAAGACACTAAGAGCATGTTAAAATGAACTACTCTAAATCATTTTTTGGAAATACGTGGGAAATAAATAACAAATAGCAATGGTATGTCTAAGTGATTTTATTGTTTAGATTAATAAAAGGAAACCAATACAATAACCAGATAAGGGAAAAATCAGATTATGGGTTTTACTTTTTTTAACGTCCTCTGTTGTGCAGAATTCGTTTTTTAAAAATCCCACCAAAGACCCATAAAACAGTGAGCTCTATTCAGAAGTTATTATTTAGGCACAAATCATCACTAGTGGCAATATATTCAGTGAGTGTGGCATTATATACCTGTGGTGAATTGAATAAATATGTATATATAAAGGTGTAGGTTGGCAAGTTAATTATGCTGTGAAGTGCTAAATAACTAGAAGTAATGGTAATAATTTGGGAATAAAATTGGTGTTCTATTAGTTGGTTATTATGATTAAAATTCCTTAGTTAATTCTTTTTTTGTTTTGTTTTGTTTTTCGGAAAGGGGAAATTGCCCAGATGTCAAAAAAAAATGGAATTGTAAAGTTAGCACAAAACTAAAGACCTTTGGCCTTAGCATTTTATAGCAAAACATTTGGGATTTGTATAAAAGACCTATAGCAAGGTGGTAATTCAAATCATTTTGACGCAATTTCATTCAAGAATTATTATTATTATTAAATACCTGAAAAGTTCAGACCCTAGAAATATAGCCATGAACAAAATTAAGCACTACTCGCATGAGCTTCCTGGATCCTAGGAATACAGCTGTGAACAAAATTAAGTTCTACTCTCATGAGCTTATACTTACTAGGTATAGATTCTGTGCTAGACCCTGTAGAACATCTAAGGTATAATTGAGGATATCTTGTTGAAGTATTATACCAATTTCTCACCAGACCTAGTTGAGATTCTGAGTGGTCATTTGTTGGTACAGGAAACATAACCAGACTAATGTGACTCCTCCCCTTGGTGAATTACCACTAGAGATTACCCCAGGTGGAGTTGTGGCACAAAGTAATCTTTAATTGTAGCAAATAAGATAATCACGGGGAGTAATTTCCAAAGCCGTGACTCCCTGAGGAGGGGTGAGCAAGTTCTTTTTATTTGGGGTTTAGGATGAATGTTTAGAAAGGGGAGCTTTGTCATCACATGTAAAGGCGGGCATGAGGTTGCGCCTAGACAGGCTTCGAAGGTTATGTTAAAGAAGCTTGTGCTCTTCCTAAGATGGAGACTTTAACATTATAATGAGGCAGAGGTAACTGTTGAACAATTTTTGGCTCATCTGCATAGTCATTGACTTGGTGGCCAAGCTCAAGCTGGGGTTTTTTGGGTTTTGTTTTTTTTAAGATTTTATTCATTTATTTGACAGAAAGAGGGAGAGAGAGCAAAAGCAGGGGGAGGAGCAGGAAAAGCAGACTCCTCACTGAGCAGGGAACCTTAAGTGGGACTTGATCCCAGGACTCCGGGATCATGACCTGAGCCAAAGGCAGACGCTTAACCAACTGAGCCACCCAGGTGTCCACTCAAGATGGTTTAAACTGGCTTAGGCTGGCTAGTTCTTGGTTGGCCAGTAGGTAGTCTAGGGTTATTCTGTGGTCTAAGACCATTCAGGCTAAGGAATGCAGGGCCTTGCTTGTTCATAGGCTGGACCCATATCAGTTGACCCTGAGTCCAGGCTTCTGCAGAGACAGGTAGTGCATTTGTTAGTGGGATCTGAAAAGAAGCGATAGACAAAGAGAAACAGTTCTCTGAAAAGCAAGCTTTAAATTTTCTGCTAGTCTTAACCTCATCAACCCTATTGGGCATGGTTTCAGAAAGAACCAGGAATTGGTGGTTCCTGTCTGACTTTCCAACAAGCACATGGAACTCTTCTCTAGTGTAACAGAAAGATTATCTTCTGTGGAGATAAAAAACTTTCTTAATTTTTCAAAAGAAAAATAAGAGACAGCCCACCTCTGGTTGGGTTGAAAAATTTTTACATATTTGTTTGCTCACTGTATTTTTTTATAAGTTGTTCTTTGACTGTTTTCTCGGGGTCTTAGTATTTTCACATTTGAAGTTCATTATATAATTAAGATACTATGTCTTTGTCATATGTACTATAAATAGTGTCCCCATCTATCAGTCTATTTTTGGGTTCACAGCTCTTTAAAGCAAATGTCTGATTTATTGTCTTTTATTTGAAGCAACAGATCTTTTCTTAAAGAACCAAACTTGTAGTTTATTTGGTTGTTCATACCTTAAAATACAGTAAGGAAAAGATATACACCAAAAATAATGGCATTTTTCTTCTTGTTAATGAGCCTTTCCCCTTGGAGAAAAGTTCACTAGCAATTTTCATTGAAGGATGTTCTTTCTTGAGACATTTTGTGCATGTATTATTGGAATTTGAGAGGGAGGAATCCTTTCTATGGAGTAGTTCCCTTTGTGGGCGTCAACCCTTAATTTAGAGAACATTATTATACGGTAGTTAAATAGTATTTGTGAGGTTGCCCAAATGGGAGTAAATCTGGGAGATTTATTTTCAATTTTATAATCACTTAGCTTTTGAATTGCATTAATTGTTGCATTCCCGATAATGAATTATACATACTGAAGATTTTTCTCAGGCCCATAGCAGAGGTTATTTGGTGATGTAGTGGAAAGAACATTGGATTTTGTACCAGAAGATGTGGTTTTCACCACAAATGAGGACATGGACTAGATGATTCCAAGGTCCTTTTAGGAATGTGTGATTCTGGGGCCCCTGGGTGGCTCAGTTGTTAAGCATCTGCTTTCAGCTCAGGTCATGATCCCAGGGTCCTGGGATCAAGCCCCACGTTGGGCTCCCTGCTCGGCGGGAGGCCTGCTTCTCCCTCTTCCACTCCCCCTGCTTGTGTTCCCTCTCTTGCTGTGTCTCTCTCTGTCAAATAAATAAATAAAATCTTAAAAAAAAAAAAAAAGGAATGTGTGATTCTATGACCACTGGAAAATTCTCCCCCTTTTTAATAGAAGTTATTTTCCTCTTTTTTCTTCTCTTCCTTTCTAGGTTTAGAGAAGTTCAAGAATTCAGTTGTACATGTTGAGTCTTAGATATCTGAGTTAGCTCTTATGAAAAATTTAAAATGAAGATGCACATTTGGAAGTTGTAAGCAAGCAAATATTTAAAGCCATGGAAATAGACAACGTAAGAAACACATGAAACCAGAAGAATTCAGGATGAAACTGGAAAGATTATATATATATATATATATATAATGGTTCTGTAGAAGAGGAACTGGCAAAGGAGACAGGGAATCATGTCCAAGAATTAAAGATGCCATTTGGTTGTCTTGTTAGATGCAGAGTTAAGACATAGCTAGTGTCGAGAAATTAGCACAGATAAATTAAAATAACAAAGAAGTGTAGTCTAAGAAGAGACAATAAACGAGGTATTGGAAGGTCCGTGTAGTATACCTTATTGATATAATTATTGTTTGAATTTCTATGTAATTTAGGATTTTGAAGAAAGAAACCTCTTACCCAGTTGTAAAGGGAGGAAGGGGGAAAAAAGGAAAGGGAATCAGGAAGGTCTTCATGAAAGAGGAAATAATTTATCTAGGCTAAGAAGGATAATGGGAGAAGCCAAAGGTGAAGACATTCTAGATCGCAGAAAAAAAACTAAGCCAAAGTAGGAAAAGCGTATAAATTGGGTACGTTCAGAAAGCACCATAGGGCAGAGCAGGCTATAGCCAGTCTTACCCAAGTGAATTCAAGGCTGAAGAGGGACAGGTAGGTAGGGTCCTATTATGAAGAGCCTTAAATGCCATTTAAGTAACTTATTCATAATCAGTCAGGTGATTGGAAGTTACCGAATGAATCTGAAATAGAGAAATTGATTCTAGATAACCATTTTAAATAGAAATTTAAAAATCATAGAAGTAGAAAAATATAAATAAATAAATATACAAAATAATTTCGAACTTTTTATTAAACATGATGAACTAACACTTGAACACATTCAGACTCAGAGAGCTTCCTTTGATTAGAAACAGAGGTGTGAGTAGAAGACACGACTAGACAGGAAATTGTCCCCTTGTTTTCAAGGTCATTCCCATATTCCATCATCAGTTCCCAGGCATCCCCAAGAAATAGGAAATCCCCCAAATTCAATCCAGTGTGTATTCTTCCAGAAAGGAGAATATACATCCTCGGACTGAACACCAACTAGCTTCTCCTTTGTCTTTATTGATGGAAGGATTTTAAGACAGAATAAATCTGAGTGGCATAGGAGAAAAAGGCAAGCAGTTCTCAAATTCCTAAGACCCCAACCAGTGTTCCAACCTTCATTCAACAAATACCTCTCAACCACCTTCTAAGTGCCAGATACTTAGAAAATCAGCCTCATCCCTTGTTCACAGCCAACAGATAGAATAAATTTAGATGGTTCTCAGGATCATCTGATTTTTTTTCTCCTCTGATTTACCTGAACAGTAACACTTATCCACATAATTCATTCCCTTCAAGTAAGGCCCATGAAGAGCTAAGGCTGATTCTGACCGGAATGGAAGGTTAACAGCCTATTTCATCTCTCATCAGTTCCCCTTACTGTCTATCCCTCAGTCTGTGTCACATGTCAGTGTGGAAAGAAGGGATGAAGTCAGAGAAACAATTCAACATTGGTGGATTTCTTTAGGCCAAAGATGAGGGCCTCAATGAGGGAGTGACAGCAGAATTAGATACAGAACAGTCAGATGTAAAGCTATTTCAGAGTGAGAATCAATAGGACTTTGCTACCCACTGAAGGTAGCAAGGTCAGAGAGAATAAAGACTAAAAATGGACTCAGAGTCACAATCCAAATTGGGACAGGAAAAGGAGAAGCAGAGCCTGTGCCGGGGTGGGGGAGGGGCATGTTGGTAGGATAGAAAGGGGAGATATAAAATAAAAGGCTTATTTGGGATACATTCATTGAAGATGCCATGTTGAGATTTTTGGTAGATAATTAATATCACCTACCTCTTCAGGGAATGGTCTGGGCTGGAGAATATAAGTCTCCATTGGAGTGGTTAATCAAAGCCAAAAGGAAAGATAAGATCACAACAGAAGTCCTAAGTTGGCCTTGAGGGTGGTTTTTGGTTTTTGCTTGTCATTTCTTTTTGATTGTTGTTTTTGATGTTTGATAATGCAAGCTT